GATACCTCTTCTTTATGTTCTGATCCCAGGGAAAGCGGAAAGATTTTCGTCGAATATATTTTGTACCTCCACTCAGTTTCTGCAACTACCTTGTCAAACAACTCTTTAGAACCAGCAGTTAAGGAAAATGCAAGGAAAACACAGCCCGAATCCTTTAGAAAGATCCTGGCTTGTGAAAGGAAACGGCGCAAGGTTTGGTACCCAGGATCAGCAATACTGCGCATGAGCAATTCTACCTCGTTTCCGGGACTCGGGTGCTGGTCATCCCATGGACAATTCCAGTAGATCATGTCGAATTTTTTTCCAGCGATTTCCTTGTGGTCAAAGACGTCAGCAGCGACAGCTATCACTCGATCATCTACTCCATGCAACTTTGCATTTTCAACGGTGTTTTTTACAGCAGTGGGGTTGATGTCCGTCGCCCAGACTTTGCACTGGTGCGAAATCAGAGCGGCATTGATAGCTGTGTAACCTGCGCCACAACCTACTTCTAGAAAATTGAATGGGGCGTCTTCAAATTTTGTGGACAATTTCGTTTTGATCACTTCAATCACTTCTTTGTTAATGTAGGCTATAACCTCGTGCCAACGATCTGGATGGAACACTTCAGGATAAATCAGAAATTCTTTCCCAAGAAAGCCTGTTCGAGGTTTCTCCTTGGTTAAACGGCGCATATTTTCCACAGCTTCTTCTAAATCAGTCACTTGATATTTCCTCGTCGGCAAATCTTTATTTACTGAGCTCATCTTATTATCAATCTGCAAGGAAAACGATTTCGTTTTGGTTGCGTGCCTAATGATTGCCATTAAAGGAGCTGTGTCACGAAATTCACCAAATTACATGTAGGAAATTACAAAATGCCGGTTAAATTAAGAGAAACATAAAAATAAGCGCTTAAAACTTTAAAGGAAGGTTAAAATAACATAACAGAAGCAATGGATGCCATGGATGGACAAAACTGAAAAAGATTGAAATGATTAAAATCAGGGTTTTTGAAAACTGTTCAGCCTAACAGTTTTTCAAAGTTGATCCCTGCTGCTTGCAACTTCAAAAATAATGCTCAGGAGACATATTTGTTTGTCTCGGATCTCTGATTTTGCCATTTACGTGTAATTTCTTTGCTTACTTTAAGTTCCATAGCGATTGAGGGCGAGTAATTGGCAAAATTAAACAAAATGAACTGGACTGCCGTGACACAGCCCCATGAACATCGATTTCAATTGCTTGACATACCTGTGATATCTGCAAGGATATGTTTTGAATCTGCAAAGGACTTCTGTCTAGAGAGAAATGGAACTTTCAGGAGTAATAATTCGACAGATTCCTACCCTGGGTGCCAGAGACTTTTCTAGCGCGGTTTCCGGTTTCTGTCAAGTCTTTATAGTGACCCGCGCGAAAAGCCTCTGGAGCAGAGCGCTATTGCTTTGATGGCGCCGATCCAATCGTTAGCACGGTTAAATCAGTTGGTCCAGATTTTGGACAAGACGGCTGATTGGCTACTAACGACCACCTGAGGGACTTTGAATCTAACAGACGCTACAATTGGTTGACAAGAATAGACCAGCACGTGAAAGAATATTTCCAACTTTAGAAGTGTTGTTGCGTTGTGTGTTGGCTTTGGAAAGTTTTGGAAAAGCATGATAAGCAATGTACTAGAAGGACAAGTTAAAAGCTATGAGCAAACAAGTGGAGTGTTTAATTTTATTTAACGCAATTAAGCTTTTATCACCAATTCAGCTTTTGTTACTAATTTCCTATTTCAAGCGATTACATTACAACATGTTTTGAAATAGTTTGTATTGATGGATTAGGAATATAAAAACAAAACATGTATTTTTAGTATAAGAGGAAGGTCGGAAGGCAACACACGACTTTTACCTCATGCCAAAATGCTGCTTGTTCCAATGAATTTTTTCCGTGATGGGTAGATTATGCTCTGGAGAAAAACGTTTTGACTGAGCAAATTTAATTGTTGCCGATTATTTCATACTGGGAGGTCGTGACACGCACATNGGAGTAATAATTCGACAGATTCCTACCCTGGGTGCCAGAGACTTTTCTAGCGCGGTTTCCGGTTTCTGTCAAGTCTTTATAGTGACCCGCGCGAAAAGCCTCTGGAGCAGAGCGCTATTGCTTTGATGGCGCCGATCCAATCGTTAGCACGGTTAAATCAGTTGGTCCAGATTTTGGACAAGACGGCTGATTGGCTACTAACGACCACCTGAGGGACTTTGAATCTAACAGACGCTACAATTGGTTGACAAGAATAGACCAGCACGTGAAAGAATATTTCCAACTTTAGAAGTGTTGTTGCGTTGTGTGTTGGCTTTGGAAAGTTTTGGAAAAGCATGATAAGCAATGTACTAGAAGGACAAGTTAAAAGCTATGAGCAAACAAGTGGAGTGTTTAATTTTATTTAACGCAATTAAGCTTTTATCACCAATTCAGCTTTTGTTACTAATTTCCTATTTCAAGCGATTACATTACAACATGTTTTGAAATAGTTTGTATTGATGGATTAGGAATATAAAAACAAAACATGTATTTTTAGTATAAGAGGAAGGTCGGAAGGCAACACACGACTTTTACCTCATGCCAAAATGCTGCTTGTTCCAATGAATTTTTTCCGTGATGGGTAGATTATGCTCTGGAGAAAAACGTTTTGACTGAGCAAATTTAATTGTTGCCGATTATTTCATACTGGGAGGTCGTGACACGCATATTGATTGATCTGCGGTTATTGTGTCTGGTCGGCATATGATTTGCCCTCTGATGCAAGAGCATTTTCTTTGACCTCTTTTGAAATGTTAAGCTCTTCAGTGAGGCTAAATAAGGGTTTTAGGTTGTTTAATTTGTCCAAAGTGCCCTCTGGATCTGAATAATTATAAGCGATTTTCTTTTTGTCCGTGAAAGTGACGGTTTCCGGCAATGTTTTGTCACGCTGGGACCAGCTCGTTAGCGTTTTTAGCAGGATGTTAAATTCTCACGGATAGTGATTTTCAGATCCTAATCTCGAAGAATGGATTGCAGCTTAAACTGAAGCTACATCAACTATGGAGAACTGCCTTGTGACCCAGTCATGATTGCTCTTAAAGAAATGAATTTTAAACTCGAACTTGTTTTGCTAAGGATAAGGTGAGTCTTTGGACACTTCTTCACTTGCCGGCCCACCTGATCACAGTCGGAGACTTTCAATCTGATTGGCGTAAATGTAATCCGATAAAAAAGCGCAAAGGTCAATGGGGACGGTAAAAAGCACCGCTCCGTGCCAGAGGTTTTTCTCGCGGCTTCGCCGCACGCGAGAAAAACCTCTGGTACCCAGGGTAACAGATTCCGGTCAGTGTTGTTAGAATTTGTCGTCGCTTGTTTCTACCCCCTAGGTTGGACAGCAGTTTTCAAAGATTCACGGGAGCAATTTCGACCACAGGCGGCCCAAGCTCATTACGTGAACGCGGACGTGACTCTTGCTTGCAAGCGGTGTTGTGTTACAAACGGTTATTTACAAAGGCTTGTATGGGATGTAAACCGTTTTTCTTAAAAGAGAAAAAATGTTATGTTTTTAAATAAAATCGACGTACCTTATTGCCTTGTTGTATTCTTTTGTTGTCTGCCCGCGTCTCGGGTCGTTTTGAAGCGTTTTCAGCGAGTTAGCGCTATTTTGGTGTTCCACTGCTAAGAGAAAGAAAAGGGGCAGATGCATTTTATGACTGCGAAAAAGTCACGAAAACTTCCTGGTTCAATGACTTATTCATATTCTTAAGACACTGCACCTGCAGCAGTTAAAAAGGATGCCGTGCTCTGAACTAGGCATGCAAAAGGGATACCATTTGTCAATGAAAACATATACGAAGGGAAGACCTTTTCTTTCAAAAAAGGTCGTTTGACTTTCTTGGTATTGCTGACAGGTGCAATCAAAAAATGACGTAATACAAAAATTGAACACACACTGAATAATACTCACACCACAAAACAACCACCTTCCCCTCCCCTAAGCCAACATTAACACTTACTTCTCACTTATGGCAAAACGTTGGCTTAGGGGAGGGGTAGGTGGGCAGTTTCCCAGAAACATATAATGTTTAGAAATGTTGTTCTTTTATAATATAATACTCCGAAAAATCTCATAATTTCACACATTTAATTTTTTATGACCTCACACTTAAGGACTCTTTTAACAGTGTTATAAAAACGCATACGATAAGTATTTTGGGGGTAGGGTGTTGACTTGAGTTATCCATGTACTTATGCAAAGACATGTGTTAATTCGTTCATGTATAGAGATTTTAGATTGAGGTCTTCAATGCCATGAAAAGTCATTAGCAGTTCATTAGCAAGGACAAACCGCTCGTTCTCAGAGAATTCAGTGAAAATAGCCCAAAACTAACCATTGTTTCAAGTTTGGCTCTTTGATTACTCTGGCAGTACATTCCTTTGTTCTGTTCGATCCGTACAATTACTTTTGTCGTGTAAGTTTGTGACTCAATTGATACGTGCTCTTTTTAATAGAAAACTTACTAGATTATTTACAAACTCCATTAGAACTCCCCAGAACTCCGTGTTCCTGTTGCTCAGTGGAAAAGGAGATCTACCATTTCCGATTATCCATGAGTAATTTCCCCTCGCAATAAACCTTTAGATGGGTGTGCAAACTCAGGACAATAGTCTGGTACTAAATAGCTGTGAAGGCTTATTGTTTGCTATGAATTTGCGAGTTGTTGTGAGCAATGTCGGTACTAAATATAAATGCGATCACAATGAACAAGACCATAAGTTGTTTTGCGGTGATTGCGGTAATGGATACCCTAATCATCCTCAAGGCCGAATTATCCATAGCTAGTGTCGATTGCTATTGTTGTTTTGCTATGAGATGGTATGTGCTTAAACGAAATACTTCAAAAGTACCTATAGCGCGGATCAATTAGTGTTATAAATAACGCTGGATTCATACATTGTATTAATCTCACTTCAGACACTACTACAACTAACTGCATTTAGAAGATTTATCTTAACCGAGCTCATTTATCATCCCATAAAATGGAACATGCATAACCAGGCTGAAAACCAAGATTAAAATTGCAGTTGAAGAAAAAAACCCGACATATTATGTACCGACCCTAAAAAAATTATTCTTTCTGCTTCTCCCTGTAACTCCCAAGAACTGATTAGTGATTCTCTTTTTTCTGGCTGCGACACATTTTCTTGTAAAATATATAGGTAAGAGAATTTGGGGTTTTATCTTAATAGCATCCCCAGGCAAATGGCTGCGTGCATTTGCCTATTGTGATCATCTGTTTGGCATCGTATTGGATTGTTCTCTATCTACTGTACAGTGCAGCTCTGACAAGTCCGGCTGCAATACA